CAGTCACTGCTTTATGCTTAGAGTTATGAGTGTGTCATCACTTGCTGCTTACGGGGCTGCTGCTGGGAAAACAGGGATGATAATCAGAAAAATGGTGAAAAAGCCTTCAGATATGTGCATCCTGACTAATAGATCATAGGAATGGGGGGCATATTTTAAACCCACAAGGTTGTTGTTATGGGGAACAGCTGCAAAGACTCTTGAGAGGCCGACTGCTGCATCAGTTTGAGTTTAATTCAGCTGGAGGAGCAGAGCCAAAGATCCCAGGCTATAATGGCAATGAGTCAGTTATGTAGTACATAGTTGTGATGTGTCACGAATTATGTGTTGCCTATTTATCTCTGAACACACACACACACACATGCACACAGACATTATTATCATTAATCTTTAAATCAGACCCTGACGTTGTGATGCAGATATCATTAAACAGAACAGCAGCTACTGCGGAAAACAAGCAAGAAGACTTGCAGTACACAACACTCACCAGTGTTGAAAAGACCAACAGAGCTGCTGTCGTGGACAATAAGATTCTCCTCAACAAAACAGTTTCTCAGTAGCTGTCTGAGCTCACCTTTTCTTTTCTTCTCTGAGCTGTAGAGCAGCTGTGAAATTTCTAATAAAACACGAACAAACATGAACTCTTGTATTGATTGCTGCTAAATTGGAGCCTCCTTTCTTGGGTAACAGCAATAAACGTGTCGTGTTTCGGATAATTTAATAAAAGCTGCCATGGCATGTGTCCATATGCAGCATCTTCACACTCGTGAGTGCATTTTTCCTGTCGTCATATATTTGGCATATTGATTATAGGCTCTTGCATACTGCATCTGTCACGTGTATTTCAGTTATAACTGCAGCTGTAAATATGTCTTAAGAAAATACAGTGGTAAAAAACCAATAAAACCCAAGGATTGTACAGGAAGAAACCTCTTTTAAATGTAGCCAAACTCAGATATCTGAACTTGTAATTTGACTAAAACTAAGGCAGAATTTGTCAGTTATTTTCTTGCCCTCCTCTGGCTCTATGTTTAGTGAAAAATAGTGTCTGGTTTATTTCTGGTGTTCAGATTTTTCGGACTCAGTTCAGTGACCCTTCAGTACAAGTTCGCTTCACTAACTACTGGGTTACAGCTGTGCACCCCCCCCCCCCCCCCAATACAAGGCCACTCAGTTTGATCATTTTAGGTCACAGGAGTGACCTAAAACAGTTAGACCTAAGACGTGTTTCAAATGGCTGATGATATATACTGTAGATTAAAGACACACACACACACACACACACACACACACACACACACACACACACACACACACACACACACACACACACACCACTGCAAGAATTAGAATTTTTTCCTGCAGTAACAAACATTTAATCCAGCAGCTTTGGTGTTTTGACAGTGACTGATGGAGATTGATGTGTAGCACAGCACCCCCCCCCCCTGCACACACATAAGTTTGTTACCTCTATGTCTGTATACTGTACGTTGCACACACTCCAGTACAGTAACACACCTTGCAACCACACACTCAGCACTTTTCCTCTCCTCATTAGATGAAAGAGGATTCAAGGCAGCTCCAGCTCCAAACATGGAATTGGTTGGGAATGTGCTGTTTCCCTCCCAGGGGGTGGGACACGATCGATCTGAAATGAGCTGCTGAAGAACAGCTTTTCCATTAGGTGTGAGATTGATCCCGAGGCTGTGTGTGCGTCTTCTCAGTAAAGTTGCGGAGATTGGACAGGAGTGGCGGTGTTCATTTTCAAAGGACTGAAGTGGGGGTAGAAAAAAAAAATGCAGACATGATGCACAGTAAACAATGCACAATAAACAATACACAATATGTACATTAGATCTGTCTAAATCAATGAGCTGGAGCAGTTTAAAGCAGTGGACTATAACAGTCAGTCACAGTCAGATGGAACCAGTTACCTCAACAGGCAGCTCTGACACTGGTTTCCAATTAGTCACTATCCCAGAAGGCTCTTATTGAGAGATCCTAAAGTTCCCTGTAAACGAGGTCGGGTTAGCAGGAGCTCCAGTAATGGGGTTAGTAGCAAGAATGAATTTATCATGTCATGTTAATAGACGCAAACGTATACCCATTAGTTATTTTAGTTGTATGGACAACTCCCATTAGAGCTATACAGTCTTGTCTGAATGAATGGAGGTCTGAAATATGATATAATATCAACTTTTTGCTCCTTTACATAAATGTTTACGCGGTTGTCGTGTACAGCTGGGTGTTGAACCTTAATACAGAGCAAAGTATGTCAGCAGAACCGTCAAACTGTCAGAAAGTACTGACAGCGTCGAATAGCTGGTGGTTAAGTTTGTACTCTCTGCTTAATAATTGATTTGACATGACATTTTGTTGCCCGTTTTAGACTGTATTTTATCATATTTACATTGTCAAATTTTGTATCTGATTTTGACATGATGATTTTGTCTGATGAAAATTCAAGGGGGCATCAGAGTCATCTTTGTGCACCGTTGATATCTGTACATTGTTTCATGGCAATCCACCCTACAGCTTAAAATAAAACAACCAGGACTCCAGGTGTGGCTCTCAGTAACCTGGCTGTGTGTATTGCTGAAGAGATCCTATATTCTTTAAATGTAGCAATACGTTGTACGAGGAATTCCTTATTGTGCTCTAATCGCCTCCCTCCTCTAGTTCAGATGCTGACTTTTGAAAGAAGAAACAGACTGATAACACAGGGGTAAGCGTGACATTTCCATGGCATTTACAACCACTTCCTCTTGCTTGTACATCGCTGTTGGTGCAGCCTTTTTTTTTTTTTTTTGGTCAGATGTTACAGTAAAAGCATCAGCTTACACCAAAGAAGCGGCACAAACAAAGCAAAGCAATATGAAAAATCTGTATATTGGTGAGTCCAGATAATGATATGGTCTGTTTATTTTGTCCAAACACTCAGATGTATTTACACTGCAGAGCTGACATTTACACCACATGTGTGTACACACACACACACACACACACACACACACACACACACACACACACACACACACACACACAGAGAGAGAAAGAGACTGTTGTGGGACCCTGCAGCAAAATGCTCCATTTACCTCAGCTTGACACCCCTTATAGAATTACTGGAGAGCACACAACATAAACACCTTACTCTGTAAAGTCACACACACACTCAAATGCGCACACAGTCATTCACGTGCAGGCACACACATGGTTGGCTGTAATCAAACAGACGCACACGCACACATGCAATAATTCCCTCTCTTCTCAGCTACGCCTAAGCCTGCTGTTTTTAGTCATTTTCTTTCTCATGATTCCAGTCTCTGCACACCTCCCCCATCTCGTCCATCCATCCTCCTCTCGTTCGCTTTGATTTGTAGCTGCCTATGGGGGTTGTTTGTACAGTGTGTGAGGGGATTTGGGGAGGAAAAAAAAGATCACTTTATGTCAGCAAATGTATGTTTCTGACTTTCAAATACTCTGGCTTTTGTATCACTGTTTTATGTATGTACACATGCACAAAATGCACAACACATGTTGGCTCCTGAAGAAGATAAAGGCCATATACCAGTTACAATATGTATGTTTTCTTCCAGTATATAGTGAATTTCAAAGCAAAGCAAAGAGACACAATTTCTCTTTTTTTTAGGAGAACTGCCAAAAGGTGGCACAGTTATAGCAGCAGGATTTATCCTGCCACAACAGAGGCACACAAAGCCAACTGATATTTGTTACTGGTGTAGAGTAACTACTGATCCAGAAAATGGAGAAATAAAGACAGAAAAGGTAGAAAAAGGAGAGAATGTTGTGAAGAGGGACTAAAGGGCATAGAAATTATTGGTGGAGGAAGAGAGGAAGGAACCTTAAAAGATTGGTGAAAGGTGAAAAAACAACGTGAAAGGGTGAGTGAGACAGGTGGAGCGGGAGCTAAAGAGAGACAGACAGAGTGGGAGTGAGAGAGAAAGCAAATGTGTGGCACCACATTCCTCTCAGATCCCTGAAGGTCTGCTGTCGGCGAAGGAGCTGTCCTGCTGAGGAAAAAACGGAAACAGGAAGAAGGAGAAAAGAGCAGAACATCCAAATATCGGATATAGAACAAGTATCAGAGAGAGAGAGAAGGGGAGAGGGGAGAAAGAGGGGGAAACTGGGGCACAAGCACATTAGTAACACGCATTAGCATCGTCAGGCAGGAGGAAGAGGGAGGAGATGAAGAACGAGGAGAGAAGAAGAAGAAGTGACAAGACAGGAAAAAGTGCTGATGGCAGAAGTGTGATGGTGCACCCTGCCAGGACCTGAGAGAGACACCCCCTCCCTTCCCTCCCCTCCCTCCCCTTGTTTCCTCCTTCCTCTCTGCCTCTCTGTCTCCTTATCTGTTCTCTGACCCTGTCTCCTCCTCCTTCACCCTCCTCTCCCCTCTCTCACACGCTACTGCTCGCTCGCTCGCTCTCTCTTCCCACAGTCAGACCAGGGAGAGCGCAGCGCCTGGGTCGCATCTCCATCTCTCTCTGTCTGTTTCGCTCCTCTGTCATTTCTCTGCACTCTTTCCACCTCCTCTGATTGTCATTCTGCAGCTGAAACCCTGTCAGAAAATACCCGAGCTCGGCAGGACACAGGAGAAGAGAAGACCGGCGGGGGAATGAATTGGGGATCCCTCAAAGAACTGAGGAGTCTTTGTTCTTTTCAATCTTTTGATGATTGACCCATTCTGCTATTTCTATTCTACAAGGAACGACTTAAAATGGAAGATTTAATGTGAGAGCAAAAAAACAGAGGAAAAGCTTTTGCAGCTGTATTTTGCTTCACAGAACAAAGTGATGCTCTCACGTGAGGAATTGAAGACATAATCTGTTTCCAAGCAAAGCGGAAAAAGAACTTCAAAAGAAACAGGAGAATCTGAACACACACTTTTACTAAAAGAGGACAAGAAGCTGAATAAAGATATTTTAAAAACACTTCAGGCTTCCCTCACTGGCTGTTTCCACTCCCTCAGTACTTTTTCCTCCGTGTTTTTTCGGGCTCTGCTGCCTCGCCTGAAGCTCAGCCATGCAGGTGTCCATCGCCTGCACGGACCACAACCTGAAGAGGGGTAATGGGGACCACAGCAAGCAGAGCGCCACCAGCCCCAACGTGGTGAACCAAGCCAGGGCCAAGTTCCGCACCGTGGCCATCATTGCTCGCAGCTTCGGCTCCTTCACCCCACGGCACATCTCACTCAAGGAGTCAACGGGGAAACACACGGGCATGAAGTACAGGTGTGTGTGTGTGTGTGTGTGTGTGTCTCAGAGTTTAGAGTGCATGTGTGGGTGAGACATGAAAAACATAAGCTGTTTTCTTTACTTAGTGGCTAGGTGTTGTATTTTTATTTATTTTTTTTTCCCTCAACCTTTGTATGTTTCAGTCTTTATTTCTTTCCTCATCCACTTCATCTCAGCTGCGACATCTTCATTATTCTTTTATTATGCTGCTCAATTTTTCATTAGACTTGAGTTGACCACACATTTGCTGTTTGGAATGCAACTCTATTCTGCTCGTTGTGCAATTATTTTACAGCTTTTCGGGCTAAAAGTTTAAAAAGACAGTAAAACAGAGATGGCATGTAAAATCTTCCATAGAAGTGCACAGTACCAAGAGACCCATATATTGATTTGCTTGGTGAGTATTGTGAATTGTTTATCAAATTTCATTGAAATTATATTATGATGATGTAACAAATTGCTAATTTAAGTTTTGTCTAATGAAGGTTATTCCCATTAAACAATGATTTAAAGACATTTGCTGTGTCATGATGCTTAATGTTAAAATATTCATATTGATACATTAAAACAGATTTCAACCATGTTCCCCACGTCTACTTATGGAATTTGTGAACTTGTGCTTTAAAGAGTCGTTTTATGTAAATAAGAAAACAGCTCTAAATGTTGTTGATACACAAAACTCCCCCTTTTTGTCTAGAAATCCCCTCTCATGTGTCTGTTGTCGTTGTCATATTGTGTCTTTTCATAAAGCTGTTCTTGCCAGCGCCATCTGAAATACCCTCTGCCGAGCCTGCAGTACGTTTTCAGCGAGCTCGCGCTACACATTTCAAAATCTGATCCTCAGTCTCCAGAGTTATGCAGAAGTTGTTCATTGAAACTGGATGTCACAAGCAAACCTGTCAGGATTTATGAATAAATGCTGTCTGATATTCTGTCTGCTACCTGCTGAGAGTTTACTGACAGTTCCTGCAGGTGCTTTGTCTGTTCTGTCTATCACTATGTTTCCTCACTCCTCCTTTCTTTCGTCCCACTGTTCATTTACACTTATTCAGTATCTCACATAGACTTACTGTCTGTCTGGCACAAATCTTCTCTCCCACTTTTTTCTCTCCTCCTCACAAATACTCAAATGCTCAAATTCTGATGCTTTCAAATGCCATGAATGGAAGAGGATTCTTTTGTTTCTTCTTCTCACCCACACACCTAAACTCTTTCTTTTTTTTTTTTCCTACCTCTCTCTCCTCTCTCTGCCTCTCTCTGTGGCTTGCTGAGACAGCTCTGCAGTGTGGGCAGATTGTCTGAGTCGGATTTGACCTCAGCAGTGCTGCTGCTCAGCTGACATGTGTGTTTGACGCTCATATAGCCTCAAGATGTGATTCTTATGTAAAATATGGTGACATTACTTTCTTTCCGAGCTCTGCAGATCACTGTGAAATCAGGCTGGTGTGTGATCAGAGTGTGTATGAAGGCAAGTTTTGTGTGTGCATAGAGGAGAGATAGTGACAGATTGCAGGCTGAAGGTAGCACCAACTTTTCAGCATATTTGATGGTGTTAATATTCAATTAAATAAAACCACAACAAAAAACTCTTCAGTGTCAAAGCAAACACTATCAAAGCTCAATCTGGCAACTGTTTTGCTGCTGTAGGTAAATTTTAGGGCTATTTTGGGGACTTTCATGTGCAGTAGCTGATGCCAAATGAAAGCTCTGCAGACCTCTTGGATAAAATGAGGGTGCTTGTCATGCTCCACGCACAGTAAAATAGGTTAATGATGCAAAATTGTTTTGCAGACTTGCGGGGAAATAAATTTTTCATTCACAGACATTTTTTTCTCATGATTTTCACCTATTTTTGGTTTTTAACTTGGCTTTAAAGGCCTTGGACTTGAAACTGTAATTAGTACAAGTGATTCTGAAACAACACATACAGTAGACGTCTGTTGAGATCTCAGTAACATTTATAGTTATTTATCTGGATCTCTTGTTTTAGTAACTGTTTTTCACAATGTATGTATTTTTCAACTCTGCATTTGCATGTGAGCAGGGCAGCAGTGAAGGAAGCTCAATTCAATGTAGCATATAACATGTCCCCTACAGTGATTCAGACATAAACTTGAGTGTTATAAGAATATGGGGTCTTTTTAATTTAGTGATGTTTTATCAAGTATTATGAATTTTATCTTGAACACTTTGATGTGGACTCTTAACACTGCCCAAGACTACTGAAAAACTGTTGTGGACTTCTTAAATTACATATTGTCTGGGCTCTGAAGCGGTCTAGACATTATGTAATGTAAGTGGGCTGCTATGTCGATTGACCAGTAATGAGAGCTGCCAGACAGGTGAGCAGCGTGCTGACTGGGGCTCTGTACCACGTCAGACTGCATTAGAACAACAGATCTAAATGGTGGGGGCAGTGACTACACATGCCTGTGTCAAAAGTGAAATTCCCAGAGCTACAGCTGGCAGGTGACATTGAGTTAAAAGGGCATTGTACCGCTGATAACAAATGGATTCAGTTCTCTGGATGTAGAGGCCTCCAAAAGGTGGTTTCTGAAGTCTGTCCTTCAACTTCAGAGTTGTGTTTCTCATGAAGGACCACTGAAAACACACCTGAAAGTTATGAATGAATTGGGATGGTATCTCTTTACATTGATGACCTTCTGCCAATATTGTTTAACCACATTGATGTGTCAGTATTGATTGATGGGAAGAACTGATCAGGAAATTGGCATCATGAAGGTGTGTGGAAATCAGTGCCTCATGACTGTGGTAACTGACCGGCGTGTGTCTGTAACTGAGACATCTCCTGACACTTTCTGACAGGGTTTGATTGTTCAGAGTATTGACCGATCTGCCTTGAAAACAGAGATGACTGACAATGGTTCTGATGCCAGTGACCACAGCCATTTCAGACACATCTCAGTTACAGACTGTTGTGCGAAGGTCGAGGTTGAAGAACACTGTAATATTCTGGTAAAGCAAGCAATATACAAATGGTAAAGACTAAGGCCCTTTTCATACCGGGCATTAAGATGTCTTGGATGATTTGTAGAGTGTACAGATGTGAATGGACTAGTACTTAGGACGCAGTGAGATCTGATCGCTCAGACCACACTTGCAGGTGGTCTGGGACGCTCTGGGCATATTTCTTTTTCCTTTATTTTTAACATTGTGTACACAAATGTGTTCTGGGCCACATTGAAGGGAGCAGATGTATGTACTCATTTGCCAAAAAAATACAAGTTGTACAAATTGTGAGATTGCTTTGTCTACGACATCTGAAAATCTGGAAAATCCCATAGAGACCTATTATGAGTGCGTCAAATATCTCGGGCACCAAGGAATAGACCCAGTCTGTATTGTTTTGATTTCTTCATCTTCTTCTTTTAATTTCTGACAGATTAGGGAAACATAAGTTCTTGGTTCGATAAGAAATGTGGCAGCAGCCTGAAAAAATATTTTGCTCGTCATGTTGCAGCTGAGTGTAATGGTGTTGCCGAGATGTACGTTTGGGAACTTCGGCTTGCTATGAGCTGCGTCAGGCCAAAGACTCTGCCAGTTCACAGCAACAAACCACGAATGGAAATCTAACTCAGAAATACAAATGCCATTGTTTAGACCCGAACCAATGGCAGAAAAAAAATCAAAAACAAAATCAATATTTCCCTTGTAGGTCAAATATCTTAATCATCATTTTACAGATGGATTGTAGAGGTCTGACTGTTTAGGGTTTACTGCTCTGTTAATGCCATCGTGTACTGCTCGTCTGTGATGTAGGAATGAACAGAGCAGCATGCAGAGACTACCTGTCATTAACAATGATGACATGAGGGTGTTTAAGTGTGTGCCAGGATTTTACAGTGTTAGTCACGGTGATGAGACATATTTACAACAAGTATTCAGTACAGGACAGTGTTGGATAACGTATGTATAGACTGACTAGCGTAGAGAAGAGCATGATTCATGCATGGGTTAATCCTACCAGAAGCTGTAAACTATAGTTGTGTTGACTGGTGTTAATTTTGACAGTGGATTATTGATTGTAATGCATTTCATGACATTTTTTTCTATATTTTATTCTCCTTGTTTTCATTATGTGGATTCTCACTTTCAAATATCAATTGAATTGATTAATTGACCGATTTGAATCCCTTTCTTGGAAAATGCATCAAAGCGTGGGATTATTGTAGCTGTAAGAATGAAACCTCCCACGCATGCACACACTCCCCTATACACATCTTCTCCTATAGGATGGCAAACCATATGCTAGTGCTGTCTTCCTGTCAGTTTGTCATTAAAAGTTCAGTAGGCAGGCAGACGATAGTGAAAATGACTTGTGACAATAGATGAGGATGGGCTAGAGTTTCTGCTCACTGCTCAATAGGAACAATAGGAGAAAAGATGGAGAGAGGAGAGAGAGATGGAAAGGAAAAGAGACAGAGGCAGATGATGGGAGACGATACCTGTGTGTGTGTGTGTGTGTGTGTGTGTGTGTGTGTGTGTGTGTGTGTGTTAATCAGTCAGAGCTGCTTTGTCTTCTTCTGACAGTAATGCTTTGGGATGGACAGTATGGGACGAGATAGACAGTCTCTATCCCCCCTACATTCTCTCTCTCGCTCGCTCTCTCTCTGTTTCTTTTTGTTTCAGTAAGTCAACCCAGGGTTGTGCAGACCATCTGCTCTGGCACTGCAGTGTAGGTTAAAGCCTGACAAGTGAGGATGTGTTTGTGTTAGAGTGTGTACTTGTGTGCGTATTTCATTTCATGTGCTTTTTACGGCAGCTTCTATCATATAACCCACACACACACGCACATATATGGGTCACATGAGGGGTCAGGATTTTTAACTATTTATCCCCTTTCGACACAAATGTGTGTTTCACTTGTTAAAGAACAGATGTGTCAAACTGTCACTGTCGATAATGATGGTCAGGAACAATCTTCATGCTGGTAAATAAAGGCTGGCAGTCTGCGAATGGTATTTGAAGCACTCTCA